TGGTCCCTCAAACAATTATAATTATATCCATGCAGCTTATATATATTTTCTAAATCTTGTGAGGTTGCTCTGGAGAGCAAATGGTATTAAGGGATACTGATAAACATAAAAAAGTTTTAAAGTGATGTATAGTTGGTATTATTACTATTGTTGTTATTTTCATTTTTACTAATAAAAGTACTATTAATAAAGTAATGTCTTGCTCATATCACCCTATTAATCAGGAAGAAAAAACTTTATCAGATGAATTTATTTTGTTCTCAGTCATCTAGATTATGAATTTAAATTATTTTTTGAAATATAAATACTAGGAAGTGCACGTATCATTAGTGTATAGCTATATGAATGTTTGCACTCTGATCACACATATAAGAAAACCCAAATCAAGAACAGAATGTTGCTAGTATCCCCAGCATCCTCCTAACTAGTTCTACCAAAGGCAGTCAGTACTTGGACTTACAACAGTAGAGATTTAGTTCTGTTTATTTTTTTAATAGAAATAAAATCATAAGTATCTTCTCTTTTGTCTGGCTTTTTTTTTTTTACTCAATGTTATCATTATGAAATTTATACATATTTTTGCATGTGGTTATAGACAATATAGTCTCTTTGCTGTTTAATAGAATATTCTATAATTATGCCCCAATTTATTTATCCATTCTACTATTGATCGGCATTTAAGTACCGTTAGTTTGAGGTTATTATGCAAAGTGTTGCTGTAAACGTTCTGGTGTGTCGTTCTGATGATCTTGTGTCAATTTTGTTGGATGTATACTCATAAGGGGAGATTCGTGGGTCGTAAGATAGGCAAATTTAGCTTTTAAAGATACTGCTAATTTCAAAAAGCAGTTCTCACCAGAAATACATAAGAGTTCTAGTTGCTCCACATCCTAACACTTGGTACATTTTGTCTTTTTCACTTTTTTTTTTATTCATTGTAATGTATTGTATGTAATGTGTAATGTATTGGTATTTTATTATGGTTTAGTTTGCATTTCTCTGAATTCTAATAAAGTTGAACATCTTGTCCTGTAGTTGTGAATCTAATTTCTTTTTGATGTTTATTATTTTAAAACATATTAGAAATGCATAAGATATTTGGATCTTATCTTTTAAAATGGATGTAAACCCTATCTTTAATTGTTCAACAGGAAAGCATGAATGACTCTTCACTCTGCTACTTGGTATTTGCATTTGACATAGCACAGAACTTAATGGTAAAGACAGTATGGTAACAAGGACGAATTATAGTCCTCTTAAGGAAAATTGAATGACTTACATATTCTCATATGGTAAACAAATTCTTTCTTGAAAAAGAACATAACAAAAATATTTCCCTGCTTAGATTCATGTCTCATTTATGACTTTTTGACATAAAGATATATTCTACAGGGTGAAATCTTCCAAAACTACATGGTTACATTTAATGAAAATTTAAATTATCTTAATTTGGTATTAAACAACATAAATGGAGTGATATATTTTCATTTTTGAGTAATAGGAATATGACTGTGTGAAATGTCATTGACATTCATATAACTTCACAGATTTCCATCTAGTGAACTACGAACTCTAATATTTAGAACTTTTCCTTTGGCTGTGTCAAATTATCTGGGTTTATTTTGCATAAATCATATTTGGAATGATGTGAAGTCTGTTGGATAAAATGCTTCAACCTCTTAACTAGCAACAAGCCTCTTCAAGGACCCAGTCTCTGTTATTTGGTATTTAAGGGTAGTAGGCTGAATTCAAGTCCTCTTCTGTGACTGGCATTTTCTGAATTTGACAGTCATTTAAACTCCATGTTTAAATGGAGTACTTTCCTAATGATATAAACTAAAAACTCGGGCTAGAAGATCTCTAAAACTTCCTTTGGTTCAGAGACCTCTTCTGAGTATTCAGTGGGGATGAAAAGTTTGCAAATATCCCTTTCAGATAAGTGAATCTCACCATATCTGATGTATGTATATGCATATGAGCCAGAATTCTCTTGGCTCCCTATTCCTTGAATTCTCTTGGCTCCATATTCCTATTACTCATCAAATGATCAGAGCAGTGAAGAGAGAGTAATGGATTGAAAGAAATTGGGAATGTTATTTTATTGATTATGGTAACCATTTTCTAAAGACAAATACCTTTATAATATGTGATGTTCCCATGGGGTAGCATAAGGCCAAACAGTGTTTATTGCAGTTGGTCGATTTTAAACTCATCAGCACTCTCACTATTAGCATTGGATAACAATGACTATTTTTCCATAGCTTTTATAAAACCTGGAGTTTTTCTGTCTAGTCAATTTTTGTTGATTTCATGGCTGCAAAATGAATTGTGAATTTGAGTTTTGCCTTTCCCTGAAGACTCAAAGAATCGAACATCTTTTTACTTATTCTTATAGTATTACCAGTTTTTCTATGAAATTGTTGTTGTTGTTCAGTTGTATGCAAACATATTTTGCCAATTTTCCCATTTTTCATCTTTTTTTTCCAAACTGATTTATCAGAATGCTTTGCAAATCCTGTATTGTATTTCTTTGCAGATTAATATGGTATGAAAGTATTTTCTGCCAACTTAATTTAGATTCTTACTCTCTTTATGGTATTATTGATAAACAGGTGTTCTTAATTTTAATGCAGTTGAATTTATCAATATTTTATTAGTTTTTTATGCCTGTTTAATAAATCCTTCCATATCTCCATATCATAATTTCTTGTCTTAACAAAAAGTCTACAGATTTACCTCACTAATTTATGTTCTTAGTCCATGGAGAATTGATTTTTGTAAATAAAATAATGTAAATATTCAATTTCACTTTATTCATGTAGTTAACCTGTTGTCCCAACACCACTTATTGACTAATCTGTACTTTTCTCACTGTTTTGCAATGCCTGATGACATAAATCATTTTCATATATGCATAAGATTATTTTTAGCTTGATTATCATCTTTATTCTCTCCTTTTGTCTATCCTAATGAATTATCTTTGTTATCACAATTTTCTAATAGTGGTTCATCTTTATACAGGAAACTTCCTTAATCTTTCTCTGATCTATCTTGGCTATTTTGGGTTCTTTGTTTTCCCATAGAACTTAGAGAAGCAGCTTTTCATATTCGCTGAAAAAAAAAATCATTGATATTTTTGTTGGAATTTCACCTAATCTATCGATCTGTTTATATGTTTAAAAAATCAGTTTTCCTCAGTTCATAGAACCCTGCAATCTTTTTGAAGTATCTTAAACTTAATAGAGTTTGAAGATACTTTTGATCATTCAATTGTACAATTATATTTCCTAATGTGATTTTTTTTTCCCACTTGTACTCTTAATAATGCTCTTAAGTTTCTCTTTTCTTCCTACATTAGCTAGGACTTGAAGCACAGTATGTTGATAGCGGGCATCTTGTTCTATAACTGATCTTAAAGAGAGTTTTCTAGATTTCATAATGAAGTATGGCATATGCTATTTGTTTTAGATCATTTATCATATTTATTACATTAGTTAGGTTAGGAGGAAGACATCTACCATTTCTAGTGCCCACCAACTTTCCCAGATGTCTGTACAGTGTAATCTCATTATATCCTGAGAGACTGATATCACTATCCATGTTTAGAAATTGAAATTTTCAAAGATACATAATTGCCCCCCAATACAGCTAGCATGTGGCCCTCTAGGATCTAAATTCATACTTTAGCCTATGTTTTTTTCTCCTTCATTATATCATAAATATGTAGTTGTGCTGGCTCCCAATATCAAGCCATTTGCATATTGAACTGACCTGAGAAGCAAACACCTAACCTGTAGACTTTCAAAGAAAGGGATTAGGTCAGTGTTGGTCCCTCCACTATTGCTGAAGTCTAGCACCAGGCTTACACGTGTGGATTTCAGCTAATAATTTGAGTATATGAAGGGAAGGGACCCTTTAGTATGGATCGAGCTGTCATTGCTCTGACTCTGACTAGATTGTAGTGGATTTGGCCTGACCACTAGTCTTCACTAATGGTTCACTAGTAGGTAATAACTCTTCCTCAAGGGTTCATTCTCTTGTGAAAGTTCTTAGGTGCTCACTATCTTACTCAGTGCCTTGACTGCCTGTATTGGTTACGATGCTTTCTGTATCCAGAGAGTCAGGTCATTGGACTTTGATGAGCTGAGACCTTGATTTGAGCTCCAGTGCAAAGACATGACTTATATGTCTACTGAATGCAAGTAGTGCTGAGTTAAAATCCTATTGCCAGGATAAAGATAAAAGCGAGACCCCTGTTGGTATATGAACCCTCCAGTGGGCACAGTAGAGATGCTGTATTACCAGTGAAACAGATTCTCTAGTACCACTTGTAACTCTATGTTTATAGTTTATTAGAAGCTGAGTCCAGACCATACGGTCTCATTTTTCTTGGTACAATGCCATCACTGCCTAGAGAGTTGAGGGAGATTTTGGCTTCTACTTTTCCTTTGACTAAACTCACTTAATTAGTGGGAAAAGACTGCTCTTTCCAAATAGCCACCATTTCTGTTTGATTTAACATTTTGTGGGATCCACGTTGTTACCCCTAAATAAATGTGGAGAAGACTGAGAAATATAGAAAATGTTGAGACCTCATTTACATGCTATTCCCCTGAGAATGTGCTGGAATTCTTACCAGTCTCATAAAAACCAGTCTTGCCATCTGCTTGGTGAGATCAGAGAATGAACAAATAATCCAGCTTCTGCCATTAGACCTTCTATCACTATCCCCTCCACCCAGGGAGCAAAAAAATGCATTTGCTCTATAAGAAATCTATTCACTCCCAGACCAAATTCTGTTATTTTGCTTCTTTACTTTCCCCTCACCTGATAATTTGTTATGGTTTCTCAATGGTGGAAATATTTGGCTCTTCACTGAGAAGATCTTTGAATATAAACACCTCACTGAAAATTAAAATAACCTCAGCTGGGTGGAGAGAATGTTGCAAACACTTTGGAATCCATTGTTGCCAGCGGAGTAGAACCATCCAATATGTATTTATGGTACCTGACTCATGCCCTGGAGATATCACAGAGCTACTTGCTCTGATCAGAGCTCTTGTAGTGATACTTAAAAATTAATTGAATTTTCAAGAATGTCAGATTTAGCTAGTGCAGTTGATGGCCCAGTAGCTGACGTTTCTTAAAAATATGCTGCCACCTACAGTATTGTTGGGGAATGGCAACCCACTCCAGTATTCTTGCCTGAATGCCATGGACAGAAGAGCCTCTGTCCACAGGTTCACAAAGAGTTGAACACGACTGATCAACCAACCCTTTCACTTTTTCACAGTGCTGTTTAACTCTGACAAGGCTCTTGTCATGAATGTTAACTAGACAAAGAGTTAATCTGGGGGCTGATTAGTGATTGTTTCTGTTAAGATTTGGTAATTTGCATAGTATATTTTCTTTACTTATGCATGTGTGTATCTGTTTTCCTCCAGGGAAAGAAGAATATATTGCCACTTTCAAGGGATCGGAATACTTCTGCTACGACTTGTCTCAAAACCCCATTCAAAGCAGCAGCGATGAAATAACTCTGTCCTTTAAAACCCTTCAGAGGAATGGACTGATGCTTCACACCGGGAAATCAGCCGATTATGTCAATCTCGCCCTGAAAAATGGAGCTGTCTCTCTGGTCATTAATTTGGGATCAGGGGCCTTTGAAGCACTAGTGGAGCCCGTGAATGGAAAGTTTAATGATAATGCCTGGCATGATGTGAAAGTCACCAGGAATCTGCGTCAGGTAACAGCGCAGTGGATAAGAGAGTAACTGGCTTTGTTTCTCGCTACAGCTGTGTTTGTGTGGTATTTGCAAACCCTAACAACATGAGATAGGGCTCCTCAGAGTCGCTTACAAATTAGCTTTTTCTTCTGAGATAAATCTTCCTGCCATACTTGAGCAGGGGCATATCTAGAAAGTTCCAGGGGCCCAAAGGCTGTTTTGACTCATCAACATGTGACAGTTTCCCAGAGGGCTGCAAGGTCATCCCTGAGACCTGCCCTTCCTGTGACGTGTGTGATTCTGTTGTGTTTTTGGTTTTTTGTTTCTTTGATTTTAAATTATAGTTTTCATGGTGATCATTTGGAAGCATGTACATTGGGATCATTAAATCACAGTTCCTTTTTTGTAGTTAAAAAAAAGAAAAATCAAACAACAATGTGTTTGTGATTCAGGATTGTGTGGATCCCTACTTCCTCCCCAGCCCAATCTCTGAAATGAGGACAGAAAAAGCCCCTGAAGGGGGAAAATGACTGGGAATTTCCATATCTCCTAAAGAATCCATTTATGAAAATATTTTTCTTTTTTAGCACAGACACTTATGTTAAGCCCCAGATGTCTCTGCAGAGACCAGTTCATCTTCTAAATGCCCATTTCTATTTTATTATATTTTTAAAAAATTCTTCCAAGTGTCTACATATTAGAAAAATACCATTTTTTCAGTCTATCTATGGGTCCCCATATACTGTATGGTTTTAACTGAGACATATTATTACAGTATATATATATATATATTCAGATGAAAATGAATAGATTGTCCTTACGTATTGAACATGATAAGTTTTGGTTACTATTTGAAATTTTATGATATTACAATGTACCATTTTGTAAAGTGTTGACAGTGACTAATTTTTCTGCAGTACATGCTGATCTCAAACTAATATCCTTAACATATTTGTTGTTTCTCTGAACAGTTGCAGAATGACCGGATTGTCTCTGGTTTTCCTTTACTAAAACAGCCCTCTCTTTCTGAGCTGTTAACTGACTAACCTTTTCTTTCCCGCTTCTGAAAGGCTTAAACTGTCCAAGCTAGAGAAGCAACCAGGAATTTTAGGAGAGCAGGATTAGTCTAGCTGAGGCAGAGGAGTAAAAATAAAGGATTCCTGAGACCCTCCAAGCCCTTTCAGAGGCCTTAGTGTCCTGGGAGGAGCCCTGCATGTTTCCTACCTGCCCTGGGGGATAGTTTCCCACCATCAGGGTCGCTGTAGACCACAGACTTATACGTGTGTCTCTTTGGTTTTCCCTTTTTATTTTTCTCTCAGATTCTCACCAAGAGGCGGAAGGCTCATATGAGAGAAGCACAGAAGGAAGGGTGGGGCTTGAGGAGCCCACTTTCTAGATTTGCCTTTGCTCAGGTTTCAAACCAAACTGCGAATTGGTAGCTCCAAGGAAACTGCAGTTATACAGCTGGGGTGCATGTGTGGCAGGACAGATTAAAAACAAATCCATTCTACTCATTCTATGTGTCAGGATCTTTGCTTTGTTTCATTGCAGTAAACTGTGATCCTAAAGTCCATCAATATGACCGAAGGAAGTTTTGGACTTGAGGAGGAGTCCGTGTATGCTGTAAAATTGAGTAGTAGGGCAATGCCAACCAATTCCTATGAATTTGCAGGGGCTGGGGTGGGCCAGGGTGGGGGAGGGACCCCTTCTGGGCAGAAGGTGGCAGTGGTCAGCTGATGAGCTTTAGGCCTTTGAGTCCCTTTTAGACTTTTTAAATGTCTGTCAGATGTACTCAGGGAGACAAAGGAACATTGCCATATGTCTGTTTCTGTCTCATAGCAAGTTTCGAACAATACTGGCAGGAAAAATATTACCTCTGTGGGAGGCCTATTTGTTAGTCTGCTTTTTTCTTGTAAAATTTTTTTGCCCTTTTTCTATGTTACTAACATGCTTAATAACTAACATGTCATTCATGGAATGTTTCATTCTACTAACCGTTACCTGAATCAAAAAATGTACTAACATGGTAGAGACCATCATATTTTTTAAGTAACGATCGTTATTTTGTTCACAGTTTTTAATTTCCTTTCTCCCCCCTTCTCCACAAAGCACTCAGGCATTGGACACGCTATGGTAAACAAACTACATTGTTCGGTAGATATCATTCTAATTGTTTCTTATTTTGGGTTTGCCGTGTGTTTTCTTTCTTTCTTTTAACTGTAGACATCATTAACAAAAGAGGAACTGCGGTTGGTACTCTTCTGCTTTCTTTGACCTCCTTCTTTTCATCTGTTGTTGACCTTCTTATTTTTTACCTGTCCCTGTCAACTTCTGGTTTCCAACTCACCTGTAGGGGCATCGTTAACGTTTCGAACGTTTTGCATCCAGCTGTGGTTTAACACGGGATAAGACAAAATGGTGGCTGGCCCGAGTGACCGCAAGCTCAGCCAGCCTCAAACCATTCATGACGCATGGCATGCACCCTTGATCTGGGAATGCTGGAGATGCCACACCCACTCATCTTGCCCTCATCATGAGCAGTTGTGTGTTTTCCTTTGGTTCGCCCTGTTTCCTTTCCTTTCTGAACTGTCCTGTCCTTCCCGCATGCGCACATCAACGCGGGCTGCTTTCACTGGTTGTTTTGCGCCCCCATCCCCTTCGGCATGGACGCAGGCACTTGCATGCTAACTCCTGCTGCTCAATAGTGCAAACAGTGACATTGCTGGAAAGAGCTTGCGCCTTTTCTGTTAACAAGGTGCACGTGTGATTAGTTAATAACAGACAACTAAACTTTACTAATATGTACACCAGCAAAACTAACCTAGGAAGCATTTTACTAACACCATTTTTGTGTCTGCTAAATAACTTTTGAGTTGCCATAGGGATGATGCTGACACTAGTTCGATAACCAGTTAACTCTCTAACTAGTTTAGACCTCTTAGGGCTAGTTGAATAGAATCCAAGAATAAACCTCAAACAGACATGAAAATGGGTTCCGCCATAGGTCTAAAAATAAAAAACAAAACAAAACAAAAAAAGCAAAAAGCAAAATGAAAAAATAAAACAAAACAAAACACAACACAGGCATATCCCAGGATTACAGGATGTAGGTCTGAGTATAGCGTGTCCTTTCCCTGTGCTTTGTTATCTAGGTGACAATATCAGTGGATGGGATTCTTACCACAACGGGCTACACGCAAGAAGATTATACCATGCTGGGGTCTGATGACTTTTTCTATGTCGGAGGCAGTCCCAGCACAGCAGACCTTCCAGGGTCACCAGTCAGTAACAACTTTATGGGTTGTCTCAAAGAGGTAAATATCACTGTCACCAGAATCATTTCTAATTCATGATCTCATCATTTCAGATCCGGACTCAAAGCACCTTTGCTGAAGACCTGATGTTTGTGGTGTCAAAGGGCACACCCTTAAATTCAATATTCCACTGTGGTTTTTATAGGTTTGGAGGGATGAGGGAAGCTCATAGAACATTATCAAGGAATTAAATTCCTCATCTTTATAGTCTATAAGTAATTCACAGTTAAGATGTGCATGGGCAGTCATATTCGCTATAAAAAGAAGTCAGACATAAAGAAATATTGGATTTAGAGTTAAGCCAAACACCTTGCTCATCTCTACAGATGTCTTAGGTGTTATATATTCAGTGGTGACTTATTTGAGCATTATAGGAAAAAAGAAGAAAAAAAAATTGGCTAAAAGAGACCAAGTTCAACAAGCACAAAATGAATCTGAATGACAAAATAAACTTTATTCCTATATTTTAACTATGTTCTGAAGGAAGTAAAGATGTTTCATTTGTGAGCTAATAAGTTAACTTGATGTTCACCTGAGTGAAGCTTTCAGGCTAAAAGATATCAAGAATTTCATTCCTCATTCTCAACTGTCATTGTTGCTTGTAACTTTTGATAGTATTAGAACTTGTTGGGGTATGAGAAGAAAAAATCAGGAATATCCTAGGGTTTTGACTTGTATGAATATTTTTCCATAAAAGCTGCCTGTTTTCATTCAGGTACAACCGAATTTCTTTTGGCTACTAGAACCAGAAGTTCCTTTTGCATTATATGGCTGTAGTTTAATGGTACAGACCTATAAAATATAAAATTTAATAACTTTGAATTTGTTATTGATTAGCCATAGATGTTGCTGATAAGCAGTGATGTGCTTTGGTTTATTTTAAAGAAAATATTCTAATCAAACTCAATTCAGGTAAGCATCAGTGAAAAGCTATCAGTGCTTAAACTATCCTGACCTGTTTTCCAGTTATATAAATATACTGGATATTGCATTGCCTAGTATGTGAATGTGTATAGAAGAGTCCTAAGAAATATTTGTGCTTTGTGGTGGTAGGGATCAATTGTCTCTCAGAAAAGACCTTTTAATTTTTACAAATATGTAACATGACTTAAGACTGCACTAAGCTATGTGAGCAAAATAAAATCTTAATAGTTATTATCACTGTTAGAATAATAGGCATTTTCTGAACTCTTATTTTGCACCTGATGCAATCCTAAGAGCTTTTTAGGGATCTCCACAATATAAGTAGTAATTATCTGCATTTTGGGGGCAAGGAAACTAAGGTTTGGCCCAGGTAAGTTCCTTGAGCAAAGGTCTCACGGCTAACAAATTTTAAAGTCTAAATCATGGCAGTCTGATTTCAGAGTTTTGTGTACCCTTAGCCACCATAATATACAGTGTCCTAACAGAAATATTGGTGTGTAAATCCTCAAATTTTTTACAAAAAGAAACAACTTTCAGAAATGTAATATAGACTGTGAGGAATTAGGTATTCAATTGTGTGGTACCATTATACTCATTTGAATATGAATGAGAGTGAATGAATGGGGATCTAGTAGGCGAGGAAGACCCAGAGAAGGTCAGAATGTGAGCATCTTGAGGGATAATTATGATTTGTTGATGCTGGGGATGGAGAATGCACTTCAAGCTGGGGAGAAGCATGGTGAAAACATACTTAGATTTCACAAAATGATGCCTGAATCTCTCTTTTGGAGATGGGAGTTGGGGTGGGGACAGAATCATAACCCTAACCATCTACATCATTCCGTCATTTTTACTGTGATCTCTCCAATCTACCATCAGCCACTTTGGTAAGTTAGTCTTGCTAACGACTGGGAAAAGGAAAGGAAATCCAAGGATCTTTAGTGGAAACTGAAATCTAGCTAAAGAGCCCTTCTGGGTATCCTATAAAAACATGAGAGTTTCTGCAGTGATCACCAAAATTCAACTGTGCCTCCTCATCTTCTGACATTTCAGTTTGGCCTAGGCAATCTCCTGTATTTATGAATCTTCAAAAAGTAAGTTAAGTCACTCAGTCGTGTTCGACTCTTCGCGACCCCATGGACTATAGCCTACCAGGCTCCTCTGTCCATGGGATTTGCCAGGCAAGAGTACTGGAGTGGGTTGCCATTTCCTTCTCCAGGGGATCTTCCCGACCCAGGGATTGAACTCGAGTCTTCAATGGATTGCCTTAATCTAAAATTACAGTTTCAAATTGAACTATATTTTATGTTATTATCTTTGTGTTAATGAGTAGTTGATACACTTTACAACTCATCTTGTTTTTTAGTTATTGTCGATTTGCAATTTTATATTAGTTTCAAGTACACCATAGTGATTCAGTATTTTTTTTGCAGATTATACTCCATTATTGTTGTTTTAGTCACTAAATCATACCCACCTCTTCTGCGACCCCATGGACTGCAGCCCACCAGGCTTCTCTGTCCATGGGATTTCCCAGGCAAGAATACTGGAGTGGGTTGCCATTTTTTTTTCTCCAGGGGATCTTCCCAACCCAGGGATTGAACCTGAGCCTCCTGCATGTCTTCTGCTCGGCAGGTGGATGCATTACCACTGGGCAACCTGGGAAGCCCCATACTCCATTATCAGTTATTACAAAATAATGGCTATAATTCCCCATGCTATATCCTTGTTGCTTATGTATTTTGTGCTTATCTTTTTAATTAGTCTTTAACCACAAAAACTGAGTCAGGTGGTTTTCTGTGTGACTTCATCTACTGAGTCCAAACAACATGGATTCACTCGTATTACTGTTTCTGTAGGTCTAGGATAGATATCAGCCTTACTGATAGGGTACTTCCTACATCTCTTCCTCCACAGACCAGGATATGTGTTTGGAGCAAGTCCTGCCAGTGTTTTATTAATGTGTAATCTCTTACACTTTATTTCCTCCTGACACACTAGTATGGAAGGATATGGGCATGATTAGCTCATAGCACACTTTGCTTGGTCAGATTTTGGATGGTTCCTAATCTCCATCCAAGTCTAAGTATCTGTTTAGAATGCTCTGTTCTTCCTACTACTGAGATGAAATTGTGACAGAGTATCATAGGCTTTGAGCTACATCACTTTATCTCAGATAGGTGAGCTTTATAGAGTTGCTGATAAGAGAGAAACATACCCACATTCATTCTCACCCCATCTCTTTTTAAGCCCATATGAGTCTTCCTTAACTCTGTCATGGGCATTCTGCCCTGTAGAATGTTATGTAAAACCTTAATTATGATTTTATCTATGGCTCATAACATTTTTATTTTCAGTCTAGTATGTGATCCCGCTTAGGATAACCAGTCCTGGAGGAGATACTAATAATACCATGTCTGATATCATAGAAGAAATTTTGGAGTGTTGAAACAGGAAGAATCCTGGAAGTCACTTTCCAAGTCCAGCCTCCTTATCTTGAAAATAGGGAAACAGACCTAGAGGTTATTTGTTCCACCTCAAAATAATGAAGGGGTAACAGGATTAGAGCACAGAATATTGTCAGATAAAACATAACACTTGTATCACTGGTTCTGTTTCATTATGAGCAGTGGCACTCAAGATCTCAAGATACAGAACTAGAGATGGCCTACCACTCTCACTAATTCACATCTCTATTCTTGGAAAACTAAGGTAAAAAAAAATTACTTTACAACAACCCATAATCTAGTGTTTATTAAAAGTAGCTAGAAGTTAGGGCTTTACCTATATGGCATTTGATAATGCTTTTTTGAAATGAGACTCGGTTTGCATGGAGAGCAGCCAACTTCATTAAGAAATTTATTTTTTAGTGATTAACAAATTTTAAAATAAATTATCTCAGCATAATTTGGCAAAGTCTAACCTGAACTTCATATATTGCTTTGTTCAAACCAAGGAGTTTTGAATGGCCAAGAATTTATGATAAGAGGATCAAAGTAGCTTTTTAAAAAAAGTTTGTATTTTCATCATAAATTGAAAAGACTTTGGAGAAATGTTTGAGGTCACTGAAAACGACTTTCAAGAATATAAATTTGAGAAGTTAGAATAAGAATTATAAATAATAAATTACCCATATACCAGCCCACATCTATGAAATTCCTGGAGGGTGATAGGTCTGTGAAAATACACTTTAAAAAAAAAAAAATCTGATTTTTATCGAAGCAATACTAGTCATGCTTAGGCTGAGGCATTGTTTATCTTCTTTGCATCCTTTATGCTATTGACTAAGACCTGAAATATATGTTGCTTAAAAAGATCATTTAAAATTAAATTTAGTTATTCCAGCAGCCAGTTTTTGAGTGATTGCTCCAATAGAGAGATTCAGAAGATTCTGTAGAAAGTTAAATCGTGGTGTCTAGGTGAGATGGAGTCTATTTGAGGACACCTATACTCCTACCCATTCACCTTAGACTCCTAGGAAAGCTCTGTGTGTGTGTGTGTGTGTGTGTAAAAGTAACACTGTTGATTCCTAAGGTGCTCATTAGAGGTTTTTGTTCATTTGTGTTTTAATATTCCAAGATGGTGGAAAACTTACTGACATGTGCTTCTACTGCAGTATTTTGGCCATGAGGGCTTCTGCAGTAAATAACTTACAAGGAAGGCTCATGCTGCTCCTTATTAATCTTGCCTCAGAATCTCCTTCTGCTATTATGCATTTCTTAGTCCCTTTGTGCCTTCATAATGCTTTGAAACACCTATTTCCCTCCTGCAGAGTGAAAATTACTCAACATAGTTTGTTAGTATGATGTCAATGAGGAAGGAAAGGATTGTATTCAATAAAATGACTTGGAATGCTTTATTTGAAGTTTGTTTTTAGCTATATGTCCTTGCTGAAGGTCTTAAAATACGTTGTGTGAGTGGAGACATTGCCTGAGTAAGAAAATTTAGAATGCTACCACTACAAGTTGCTTGGGATAAGCCTAAGAAAGGATGCTAGAAAAATAAATAAATAATTGAAATGCTAGGGGGAGTCAAATCCCTACTGAAAATTTCATCAACCTAATTAGATCAGTGCA